TCTCTCTCTCTCTCTCTCTCTCTCTCTCTCTCTCTCTCTCTCTCTCTCTCTCTCTCTCTCTCTCTCTCTCTCTCTCTCTCTCTCTCTCCGTGCAAATATACAGCAAGGTGGGAGTCCAATTGAGTCGGACCATGGCACTTAGGGAGATCACACACCGAAAGGAGGTCCGCGCAGCGTTGGAACCGGGAAGAAGATCTGATGAATGACGTCAATGTGGAAAATATACCGGCAAGTTGCAGGAACAGATCTCATATGCCAACCGCTTGTATAGGGTGTTCCTTTGCCAAGAGGGGTTCTTCTTTTTCAAAACATAAATTGCGGAAAGCACTGATTGTCAGAGTCATCCAGAAAACCACCATGAGCAGTCCACGGGGTTCGTGAAAGGCCATGAAATTTCTCTTCACCTGGTCAGATAACATCTGATTTACTTCCAGAAGCACTCCACCACCTACAGATATGTCCAGATCCTCATCCAGGCCCTCGAAGACATTGCTTTCTTTCACATCATCCACTAGCTTCTGGAGGTCTATAGGTCGTACGGGACTGCTCTCCACATGTTGGGCTGCTGCTTCTACGACACCCAAACACTGGCTCTCGTCTGGGGTTTCCTGAGCCACCTGCTCACATTTTTCCTTCAGCTCATCAAGAATTTTGCTGGCTGACTGTAATTCTGCCAGAGCTCCTGCGCTTTTATCCGCATCTGGACGGTCCGGATGGTCAGGAACCTCTTGCATGTTCTTTTGAGCAACGCCTGACTGAATCTCTTGCTCAAAGGTTTTTGGAATGGGCACACCCTTAAAGCTGCTGCTCCACTCGTGAAGATCTTTGCTCTTCTTGTCGCTTTGAGAGGACGCGACACCACTGCCAGTCAACGGCGTCGATGCTTTCTCAGGCTCGAGTCCCCCTCGATTTCTCACTCCTCCAGCATCTGTTCTGCGAGGAACCTCTCGCCCATCTGGCACCAGAAGCGGAGTTGGTCTGGGACTGGGACTTTCCGTAGGTTCTGTAGAAAGTTTGGTGCCGCCTCCTTGCATGGGCACCACACCCTGTCGATGAGATCCTCCTCCTCCTGTCCTGACCATGAAAGGACCTTTTTCTTTGGCCTTGCCAGTTTTCTCCTTATCTGATACGGTTGTATTTCTTCCAGGTGCTGAGGCTCTCTCCTTTCTGACACCCGTGAACTGATCGAGGTCCTTCGCAGTCAGCAGACTTGGCTTAGGTGTTGGTGCACCACGTCTCTCCCCAGCAGCACCTTCTCCCCTCCCATGCACTGCAGGCGGGACACTTGACCTTCCGCTCTGTGACGCACCTGCATTGCGCTCCATGGCCGTCCGCATCAGCAGCTCGTCACGAGGAGAGCCATCCGCATTTCTCGGTGTCAGACTGGAACCTGTTGTCCTCAGCCGCTGAGAATCACTCTCAACAACACCTGGCACCACCTGACCGGCTCCGCGGCCCGCCATGATCTTTGCCTTGAAATGCGAGAGCGGTAAATCGTCGTCGTCGTTGCCTTGCCCGTTCTCCTTCTCCTTAGGTACATTGGCAAGCTGCAATACTCTCCTGTCCACTGCTCGGCTTGAAGCTATTCCAGGTGTCACACCTTTCCTTCCCCTGCCCAATGGCTGGGCAGAATCCCTCCCCACATCCTTGCGCACAGCAGCTTGATGGGCACCAGCCGCACCACCAGCGCGTTTAGAAAGAACACTCGGTGGTCGAATGGATGCATCCTGCTGCTTTCCATTAACAGACTGATGGGCAGAGGTATCCTCCAGCTGTTGATAAAGAGGTTGATAAATGACAGCCGGCCTCTCGAAAAGGTCGACCCCACCCTGGTTATGCCCAAATGCTGAAGCAGATGAAGATGCTCCATCTGCTTTGCTGAGCATGCCCTTTTCTGGAACATCACAGGTTTTCTTCCGCGCCTGATGCGAAACGAAAAAAACAAGTCATCACGCTAGATTGAAAACGGAGTCCTTAACTTCACCATTCTCAAGAGCTCAAAATTCAAATGGCAAGTTAGCTGGTAACCCGCATAGTGTGAAATGAAAAACCGGCACGACATCAGAGCAATTACAAAGTGCAAACACATGAAAACTAGTGAAAATAGCTGGTCACCCGCATAGGGTGAAAGGACACCGCCACGGCATCAGAGCAATTACAGAGTGTTTTCAAACCAGTGCTGGTCGCCGGATGGACCGGGGGGCACTCCCCCGACCGGAGTCCACCCGGTTGGACCGGCCGGTGCCCCGGGCCGGTTCCAACCCCGTTGCCCCCAGCGCATTTTCGCTGGGACCTTAAAATTTTTTTTTGGCGGCGGGGTCGTTTTTGACTGGCGCGTGGGGGGCAGGCCGTGACCCGAAACTTGGAAACCGGGTCCATCAGGCCTTTCGTTTTGTTGTTTGAAAAAGGGGCCAATCTTGGCCGTTGATCGTCTCAGATCGGCGGCCAAGATTGGCCCCTTTTTTCAACTTCGCGCTGGTGCTTTCAGCGCGCGAACTTGGCAAGCCCTCCGCCCCCCGCCGAATTCAAACTTCGACGCGAACTTGGCGAGCCCTCCCCCCCGCACGAACTTCGACGAGCCCTCCCGCCCGCACGAACTTCGACGAGCGTCGCCATCGTCCAACGCCCCGCAGCATCGAGCAGCGTTGTCGTCGTCATCCAGGATCGCCATTGCTTCGTGGTCGCGCCGTTGCAACCCCTCCTCCTCCTCCCAAGGGCCGACGAGTACGGCGCGCCCTCTGCTTCATGGTTTGGTTCTTCTTCTTCTTCTTCTTCCTCTTCCTCCTCCTGCTCTTCTCCTCCCTCTTCTTCGGCATCCTTTCCTTCCTCCTCCTCCTCCTCCTCCTCCTCTTCTTCTCCTCCCTCCTCTTTGTTTTCTTCTTCCTCCACTCCTCATCTTCGTCACCTTCTACCTCCTCCTCCTCTTCTTCTCCTCCTCCTCTTCTCCTCCTCCTTCGTTAGCAATAACCTTTTTTTTTTTTTTTTTTCAGTGCGCGCTGCTTCTTCCTCCTCCCCCGGAAATCCAGCTTTAGTGCGTGCTGCTTCTTCCTCCTCCTTCGTTACTGCGCGCTGCTTCTTCTTTCTCCACTCCTCCTCATCTTCGTCATCTTCCACCTCCTCCTCCTCTTCTTCTCCTCCTCTTCTTCTCCTCCTCCTCTTCTTCTTCTCCTCTTCTTCCATAGCTCGTCATCTTCTACCTCCTCCTCCTCCTCCTCTTCTCCTCCTCTTCTTCTTATCCTCCTCTTCCATAGCTCGTCATCTTCTACCTCCTCCTCCTCCTCCTCTTCTTCTCCTCCTCCTCTTCCATAGCTCGTCGTCTTCTACCTCCTCCTCCTGCTCTTCTTAGGACGACCCCGACTCAGATGGCCACGGTTCGGAGTTGCCCGACGACGAGAGTAGCAAAGGGGATTCCGAATGTGTGTGTGTGTGTGTGTGTGTGTGTGTGTGTGAGAGAGAGAGAGAGAGAGAGAGAGAGAGAGAGAGAGAGAGAGAGAGAGAGAGAGAGAGNGAGAGAGAGAGAGAGAGAGAGAGAGAGAGAGAGAGAGAGAGAGAGAGAGAGAGAGAGAGAGAGAGAGAGAGAGAGAGAGATCCACCGATAACATGACGAACTGCTGCAGATCTTCATCTTTGTCTCAACTTTCCGTTATTCTTCTTGACTTCTTCTCCTTTCTCTTTTCTTCTTCTACCCTTCTTCTTCTGTTTCTTCTCCCTTTCTGCTTAATATTGTATGGCCTCACTTCCATTTTGTATGCATGATGCTGTCTGCAGACCTGCAAACCCTAAACGCAACAACCTCCTCGCCACTCACAACCATGGCCCCCAACCCCCCCAGCTCTCCCCCCCCGCCCTCCGCTCCCGGCACACCCAAAAAAACAATCCAACCTTCAAAGTTTTACGGCGGAATCGGACAGATCTCGGCAAGCGCAGTCGGATGCCGTCAAAAAAAAAATAAAAAAAAATAAAAAAAAATTGGCCATTTTTTTGGGCCATCCGTTTTTCCGGTTGACCCCCCCTCGGCCGGTCCGGTCCCAGTTGGACCGGGTCAGCCCGACCGGCCGGTCGCTGGCCCAGCCCTGTTTCAAACACATGAAAAGTTGAAAACCCGTTTGAACAACCCATGACTCACACGCGCAAAAAATAATAAAAGGAAAATGACAAAAATGTCGTTTGAAGTTTGAACGTGTCATGCCGAGAACGGAAAGGCTGTTAAACAACCAGTCCATCTGAAGCTAAATTAACAAACCAAAGTTGCATTCTACCGGCATGGGGCCCAAAGTTACTGTTCATCGGAACTAAAAGTGCCATGGGGCCCAAAGTTGGGCCCAAAGTTACTGTTCATCGGAAGCTAAAGTAACCAGTCCATCTGAAGCTAAATTAAGGAACCAAAGTTACTGTCCATCTGAAGCTAAAGCAACTTTGTCCTGCCTAAAAGTGACATGGGGCCCAAAGTTACTGTTCATGGGAAGCTAAAGTAACCAGTAACTTTGTCGAGCCTAAAAGTGACATGGGGCCCAAAGTTACTGTTCATGGGAAGCTGAAGTAACCAGTCCATCTGAAGCTACATTAACGAACCAAATTTACTGTTCATCTGAAGCTAAAGTAACTTTGTCGAACCTAAAAGTGACATGGGCCCCAAAGTTACTGTTCATGGGAACTTCATCCATCGCTCTACCGGCCCTGGGCCTAGGGTCAGTACTTGTATACAAAAACAGATGAAAATTAACTTAGGAGGGGACTGGTGATTAAAGGACGTTCGGTGTCTCGTGAACACGCAATAATGTAGCCTCGTAATTAGTGTCCTGTGGAATATCTGTTCCTTTTTTGCGGCAACTACAGGAATTTTACAAAATGATTTAAAAATTGCATAAATTAATAAATTATTACATTGGAAAGATAAAAGGAGCCGGACTGATGTTCCCAAGGATAGACTGACCCGAGAGGAGTTGAAGACATGAAGAAGTGAAATCGCACACATTCTGGGGGGCAAACGGAAATCGATCACACACCAAGCTCGAACACAAGACCAGCGAGATGAAAACCAGATGAGAACTCAAAACTACTAGATGACCTGTTGCAGCTTCGCTTGTAAGAAAACAGGAAGGAATGTCAACAAACCTTTTCTTTTCCTTCTACGGTGATTGTTTTTTGGGGGAATCCGTTACCTTCCCAGCATCATTTTTTTGTTTTGCGCTGTGTGAAATGACCCACACAGTTGCAGTCTGAGAACTCTTTAACTTTCTGAGATAATTCTGTCCCGTCGCCCTGTTGATCTGTTTGCTGAAGATTCCGATTCTGAGTCTGTTTGCTGTGTTTTCTGAATATGCTCGTGATCAACCGATCTCGTATGTACCAGCCTGGCATAGGAACCGTTCGCGTGATGATCTGGGCCGTTCACGCAAATGGATGGCCTTCATCCCAGGCCGATGAGAAAAATTTCAGATCGGCCCGGCGCCCGCTATCCAGGCCGTCCATTAGAGTGAACGGCCCAGATCGCCGGCCGATCAGATTTTTTTCTCATTGGCGTGCGATCTGCAGTGTCCGGGATTCTGATCAGCTTGCAATCCCGGCCCTTATGAGAATTAGCACTGTCTAGAGTACTGTAGATTATTAAACTCAAAAGAAATATTGTTGCGGTTCAAAGTAAAGACAGCCAGCAGCTATGACTATTGTCAACATCAATCCAGGTACATTCCTCTCTCTCTCTCTCTCTCTCTCTCTCTCTCTCTCTCTCTCTCTCTCTCTCTCTCTCTCTCTCTCTCTCTCTCTC